TATGAATTTAATAATGAATTAAATCTTCTGCTAAACGTAATACAAAATCTGACGCTTTCAACATGAACATAAATTTTGAAATTGAAATGATTAAATTTCTCCGTCAGGCGTCAATTAATTTTCTAGTCGAATCAATAAACTGTTCGCTAACACAACTTAAAAGAATGATAAGTCGATTTAGCCTGAAAGATGGTAACGACAGCACTCTTGGAAATTTCTGCAAATCTGCCTCTAACTCTAACTAAATAAGCCAGAAAACTCCACTGAAAAACCATTCCCTATGAAGGATCACAAAATACAGATGACCATATTTAGTATCTGCTATCCAAGTGAAGACTTCTGATCAATGTTGCTTTGATTACAAGAAAATAAGGATTCAGATTTTAACCAGTGTACACAAAATATCATTTTATAAATAAAATGGGATGACGTGACACAATGTAATTTAGACAGTCCACTGTTACCCGGTGTATTGGATCCCCATTTGCATGATACAGTAGTTAACATTTTTATTGCATTCACCAAAGGTGATAAAAATGGGTGGTATAAAGTAAGTTCCCTTTGCAAAGGGACATATAAAAGGTGACACCCTGGCCGAATTAGTCAGTCTAGAAGTCGCCACCAAATCAACTGCTTATCTTCTTCGAAACAGTTCAAGCTAATCAGTCTTCGAGTTAGCAAGTCTAGAAATCTCCACCTAATCTCCTGGTTTTATTCTTCATGTCACCCCTACGATCGCTATCGTATCTAAACTGTGGTGAACCATCACCAAGAATCTATCGTCTGAACAAAAAAGATTTCAACTATAAACCAACTGCCTTTCTGAGAGTGTACCTTCCTACGACTTGGATTCGCAGAAATAAAATAGCTTGGGGACATATCACATCTGGACTCCGGACCGGAACTTAGGCTGGCCCGAAAGCATCGTGACTGAGTTGAACCTTCACCTGGTTCCCTTCACCTTTCTAATCGGCGAAAACTGTTTTCCCAGGTCAATGACAAAGGTTAAAATTAAAATAAATATCGAAATCACACAAAAACAACCTCATATTCATACTGTTTCCTTTAAGGATTTTAATTTGTTCCAGTGTTCCAAATAGACATTTAGATCTGTATGCTCTTCCGCTCTGTGAATGAATCAGGTATTGGATCACAAATAATGGACAATTTAAATGTATAATTCGGGATATGTTTAGTTTCTTTCTGAGACATAATAATTTTCTTCGGCATTTAATCAAAATTCGAATTCTGAACCAATTTCGAACGAATTCCGAACAATATTCGTACGAATCATTTTCACCTGGGCTTTCCTCTGTCGAGAAAATCTAAAAGACGGTTCATCCAGGCAAATGCGAGTACTCTTAATCTCAAATTTGTTCTATAGACGCAAAATTTATTGTAAATTAATAATTAGGTATATTGTTTGTAAGAAAATTTCCAATGGGACATTTGTGACGCCAGTATTAAGACAAAAGACGAGTGTATAAATAAATAAAGTAACTGCATCGGCAAGCGATCAGAAAGATTAGAGGACATCTAAAGAAAACAAGAAATTTTTCGTTAATCCACAACGATAATGCTCAGAGTAATTTTAATGGTTATAGTGCTACAGATTACGATGGGGATTTGTCTGAAAGAAAATCCACATCTGGATACGTGTTTGTACTTCAAGATGGGTAAATAGAAAGGTCATCAAATTTGCAGAGGATTACTGTATTGTCATCATCTGAGGCAGAATAATACATCGAAATATCGGAGGCTTTAAAGGAAGTTTTGTGGTTGAGATCGTTATACTGGATTCTCTTGGTATGCAGCAAAAACAAGCAACGGAATTAAGAGTCGATAATCAAGCAGATATTGCTATGGCGAGAAACCCGGAATTTTAAATAAAAACAAAAGCGTTCGTTTTCACCGCATTTCACAGGAATACCGTAGTTACTATTTAGATTAAAAAATGTAATTCTTATTTGAAAAAATCGAAATTTACTTCTTATTAGATTATGTGTTAAAATGTGTTTAAATATAATTCTGAACAATCTGCTTCTATAATGGGCATTGAATGGACATAATGTTCTAATATGGTGAAAGTAGCTTTTTTTCTTCACGAACTATCCATTAATTTTATCACGAAACACATTTTAGGGAGTGTGGGTCAATATTTTACGGAAAATTAGCAAAGCATGCTATTATAATTATATGTATGCGACACACTGCCTCCAATAACTAAATTATATCAACACTATTAGCGCCTCTAATATAATTAATGATACATTAAATAATAGCTGTATATAAAAAGGCAAACTTGCCAACATCAAATTGTAGAAATAATGAAATATTATTCGAATTCCATTGTATTTATTTTTCTTTTTTCGTCTTTTGATGATTTCAAAGATTTTTTACTGATTTTTTAGAACTCTTTTGAGAAACTAAAAATAAATTCTCAAATTGTATATAGAATAAATCTGATTCGAGATTGCATTTTTGAAATATAGATATAAATATAAAAATAAAATTTGAGTTTTTAAATAAAAGGTTCAATGTTTCATATTTGGACAAACATACGCTGGCTAAAATTCCTATTTCTCTCTCTCTCTCTCTCTCTCTCTAACGAACTTTTTTTCTCAATAATTGTTACAATCAAACAAACGTTTATTATTCAATTTCCCAAAAATTGTGTCGAAAACAAATAATAAATTTATTCCGATAGAATGCGACGAAAAATTCCAGCTATATGTATCTTTACATTTTGCATATGAGCAAAAAAGAAAATTTTTGTTTTATTACAGAAATAATTGATTATTTAATTGTTATGACATAAATATTGTTTCTTACCAAATAAATTAGTTATAATTTTTTCTTATACTTAATTTTTTTGGTTAAGAAAAAAATAAAATGAAATTTTTTTTGGAAAAAATCGACTAATTTTTTACTTGAAGAAATAAACTAAAACATTATCATATTTATTTAAAATTACGTAATAATTTCTTTTTAAAATTAATAATTTATTGATACTTAATTATTATTATTAGTTTATTTATTTATTTCACATTTTAATAATTAGTTATGAGAAATTTTAGTTATTTTAACAAAACAGGAAAATTTTCATTAAATGATTAATTATTATGTGGCTGAAGTCCGCAACGTTTTTAAAAACGAAAACTCAAAAATAATGCGACGGTTTATTTTATATTAGTATCAAATTCACGTTATTTTCGATCATTTCTTTTTCAAGCAATAATTATTAAGTAATAATTTCTTAAAAACTCACAAACATGAAAATTAGAAATGATTAAAAAAAAAATTTTCCTTATTTTTCGTTTTTAAAAACTTTGCGGAATTCAGCCTCTTTAATTATTATAAATTAAATGAATATAGTGGAAATATTAAAATTATATTATTATTCAATGATTTAGTGTTTAAAAAAAGGATTTCTTTTTAACCAATTCAGATTTCAAGCAAAAAAAATTCTTTCTAAATTTTAAGTGCATAAAAATATTTTATTTTTTGTCAATAAATTATTTGTTAATTAAAATATAGTTGTTTTTTGGCTAACGGTTTAATTAAAACTATTACTATAATTACTACTTAAAATTTACTTATAGTTTATGACCAGAAAATAACTAAAATTTCTATTAATTTACTACTTAAAATAAACAAAAAATTTTAATTTAAAAAAAAAATTTTACTACTTTTTCAGTTATATTTTTTTTTAATAAAAATTAGTTATCTTTTTACTAAAAAATATTTCTGCACTTAAATTTTCGACTAAAAACTAATTTTGTTAGTAAAATTTGACAAGTTTTCCATTTATTTTTTAACTAAACAGTAGTTACTTCATTACTAAAAACTAATTATTTATTGTTTACTTTAAATTAATTCTGATTTAGAGTTTATTAGACGAGCTGAAAGTAAATATAAAATTTTTCCAAAATTGCAATCAACCTTTTGAAATTCAATTATTCATAAAAATCATAATTGTTACGCTTCCAAATTTTAATAAATTTTAAAATTTTGTAAGGCAAATATTACTTAAATCATATATAAATAGAAATTTTAAAACTGTTCTTAGGGGAATTAAATTATTTAATGTAAATAAATTTAAATATTTGCTAACGTTCAATTATATTATTGTTAAAAATAGATTAGAAGTAGAAACAAATGATAGGTTACATTTTAAAATTTCTAGTAACTTAAAAGTTTAAAAAGTGAACAAAAAGTACAAGAAGAACTCTCAATGTTTTTAATATCTTCAAATTTCGTTGAATCATTTCCTCAGAAATTCGAATTTTCTTAGGAATTTTTTATTTTCTATATCACATACTTTCTAAGGATATCAAATTGAGACAAAAAATGAATCAAAAGTGTTGCGAAGCAACATTTTGATTCGTTTTTTGTCTCAATTTGATATCCTTAGAAAAGGATTCTTTTTAGAATTTTTGATATAATTTCCTGACTACTCCGTCTTCTCTGACCAATTTTATTTTTTTTGACTGTTCCCTGACCTATGATACTCCTGTTTAATCACATAATTATATAAATATAAAATTTAAAAAAGAATTTGAATAATATGGGTATTGAATAAATTTTTCCAAATAAGTATACGATATTTATTAAAAAATGTTACTTTTCTTTTTTTATAAATAATTTCAACATTTTTATCAACTAAAAGTAGTCTACTTTTTCCTATGTAATATTATTCCTACTTTCGTTATAAGAATCAATTTCGATGCAGAGTTTCTTTAACTGTAACTTATCCAAAAATATAACTAAAATATATAAGATGCACAAAACATGTAAAATTATATAAAAATATAACTATTTATGCAGTATAAAAAGTAAATGAAAAAAGTAACTGAAGAATAAATTTAAAAGAAAGATTATTTTTCAATTTATACTTTAGCATATTATTTGTTCTTCGCCTATCTGTAGAAAAAAGCACAAAAATAAAAATTTCCAAAAAAAAGATGATAAAATTGAAAAAAGAATATATGAACACTCACTGTATAAATTAGGGGCTCCCAAGATGATAAAAACCAGTAAGCCCCAAGGGCTCCACAATATCTTAATCCGACACTTTCATTTTGTCATCTCTCTGGGTCAAAGTTGAAAATGGTAAACATGAAAGCGACTTGGAAATAAAGAGTCGTTATTCCTTCTGTTGATGAAAAATTTTGAAGAATAAATAATTATCGACTAGAAAATGATCCCTCGACTTGCTGCCATATTTATTCGAGTGAAAATTGTCGCTCCAAACGTGTGATGGGACAACAATTTTGAGGATCCTTTCCCCTTCAAAACACAAAACTCACGATTACCATGTCCACGGCCCTTCAAGTACACAATCGCTTCCGTATATATGCGGTAAAAAAGCACTGATTAACTTTGCACACGCAAACGCAATGGCGAAAGTAACTGCAGATGAGAACGCGCATTGCCTCCGGCCGGCCTGAAGCTCCCAACTGCCGCTCGTGTTGCTCGATGCTTCAGAAGCTGGCAGTGCTTTTACTTGACGAGCTTTTGCAGTTTTTGGATTCGTTAAGGGGATGACATGGCATGAGGGAGGGACAAGGAGGGGGGAAGGGGATTGGTGGCGAATCCGCAGACCGGGAACACCACCTGACGAAAACTTGGCAAACTATTTTGTTGTGTAGCTGAAACCTCAATTCCATCGAGCAAGGGGCGCGCAAGCTCCATGGATTTTACACTCCACCCCAACCACCCACGCGACCTATTGCCTTTTTCCTTCAACTATATCCTCCACATTGAGTATTATATCTATGTATACTTTGTACCCTATCGAGATACTACTATTTACTACTAACACTACTACTACTACTACTATTGCCACCAATATTATGGTTCAAGTCCGGCGCACTGGCAGTAGTACGAGAGCGCAATAGTCAGACATTCGTTATTAGCAGCACGCATCTCTCTCGATCGAGTTTATACTCTTTCTTTCTTTATTCTTAATTATAAGAATATTGTCACCGGCTATGCAAAAACATCTAAAATACATTGTAGTCACTTTTAAAATTATCTTATTTTTCCATCTTGGAAACCAATGCATTTTAAGATGCTGTTGATAACTTTTTAAAAACAACTTAATCCGGCGAGCGTAAGGTTCAACTTTGTAACACGGAGCGTTAGGAACAGAGTATTTTTTACCCTGCAATGATTTTCTATTTGCATATTAAATTGCATATTAAAAATAACCTTGAAATCATGGAAATTTTTTACTATTATTGTTTTATGTTGCCTAGTAATCTAATTCATTAATGTTACGATAAATTTTCAAATCAAAAAATTTTTATTAAACAATTAACTTTTTTTGGTACTGTATTAAATTAATAACACAGGACCACAACATTTTTTTAAAGGAAGTATTGACCGGACTATGTTATTTATATGTTTTTGTGGTCGCTGAATTCGAATCCGAACTCAGTTTTCCGACATCACGTCAAGTTTTTTCATAAATTAATAAAATTAAAAAAAAACTGACTGTAAACAAGATTTATATAAAAATAAGCAGAAGATACTATTAAAAAACAACTTTAAAACACTGGAAAAATGTTATATAATGTTAAACAATCAAAGAAACTCGTAAAAATTACAAATTTAAGATGGAGGATCCAATATGGCGTCGATTTTTTTAAAATTTACCCAATTTACCCAAATTGACTGAAACTTGTTACTCGGAGGTTTTTGGGGTTGCTGAATACGAATTTCACCTTAGTTTTCAAAAATTCAAAATATGATAAATTTTTAAATAATTCGTTAGCCATATTGGATCTGCCATTTTGAATTTTGAAAAACTAAGGTGAAATACGTATTTAGCGACCCCAAAAACCCCCGAGTAACAAGTTTCGAATAAATCTGATAATTTTTCAAAAAAATTCGACAGCCATATTGGATCCGCCATTTTGAAGAAATTTGACTTGATGGCGGAAAACTAAGTTCGGATTCGAATTAAGCGACCCAAAAAACATATAAAAAACATGGTCCGCTCAATACTTTCTTTAAAAAAAATTTTATGGTCCTGTATAATACAAATAAGAAATTTAGTTAAACTGCTAACAACTATTGCATAAAATTGTTTAAATAAACAATTGTTGTTATTTATTAACTTTTTACCCAATGCACCTAGAAAGACGCAATTTTTTTCTTCTAATTTTGCAATTTATGGAGCTACTTATCATAACCAATAAATATTAAATATTAAATCGTTATTTAAACAATTGTTTAAACAAATAATTCTTGTTATTTATTAACTTTTTTTCTATTGCACCTTAGAAAGATGCAGTTTTTTTCGAATTTTGCAATTTGGACCCACTTATATAATAACCGATAAATATATGTATATAAAAATAATATATATATATATATAATTGCTAAAAATAGCGATTTGAAATTTTAGCATTTTTATCGGTTATTATAAGTAGGTCCGAAAATTACAAAATTAAAAAAAAAACTGCATCTTTCTATGTGCAATAGGTAAAAAGTAAATATATAACAACAATTAATTGTGTAAACAATGTTAAATAATAACTATAACAAATTAAATTTTATATTTTATTTAATTTATTAATTTAACATTAAATAATACCAATAAAAGCTGCCAAATTTATATAGAAATTTGATTTTTCATATTTTGTTTTTGGAATTGTTATAAATTAGCAATAATAAATTGTTTAAAGCAAATGAAAAGTTCATTCTAATAATATAGTAAAATACATTACTTATCTTTGATGACCAATAATAGTGAAGTACCTTCATGATTCCAACTTTTTTTATATTATACAAAAAACAATACTCTTGAAGTGTTTTATAGTCAGCGGACAGTGTGTTATTTTTGCATTTTCGCGTTCAAAACCTAATTTCTCTTGAAGGAATTGACCAAAGTGAATGAGCCTCGGACCAAAATAAAGATAAATAAATGTATAGAATAGAAAAAAATTATAGAGAATCCTTAATTTTAAATTTATTTAAATTAATTTAATAAATTAATTAATTTTATTAATTTTATTTTTTAATTTTAAATCCTAATTTTTTGAGCTCCTGGATGTTGAGTGAAGTTAGCATTTTTTTGAAAAAGTTAGAGTAAAAAAACCTATAAATTATGGTAAAACTTAATAGAAACAACTTTTATGTAAGTATTTGGAATCACTGAATACAAAAAAAAAGTTGGTGTTTCGTAATTCAAAATGGCGAACTAAATTTCCAAAATTTAAAAAAAAACTTCTAATTTGTTCAAAGTGTATGGTATTGTAATGTTTTCGAGGTCGCTGAAACCAAATATGATGGTAAAACTTAAAAATTCAAAATTTCGGTCTCAATATGGTGGACAAAATTTTTTTTAAAATGCTTCGATTTCAATAAGACTTGGAACTTTTACGTTATTTTTGAAGTCGCTGAATTCAAATATAATGGTAAAATTTAAGAATTCTTCGCTTTTTTTTAATCTTCCGTTTAATATCCATCACTTAGAGAATTTGTGTCACTTTCGTAGGTGTATTGAAATATATTATATTTTATATTCAAATTTATACAAAATTAAATTTAATAAAATATTTCAACGATTAATTATAAAGATTTTATGAAAGTTACAAATTTCAAATATATGTTTACAGAATTTTTGTGTTTTTAGCAAGCTGCATTTATTATAAAAAATTGTATTAAGCGCTTTAAAATATATCGTTGAAACCTATTTCAAAACAAATTATGTTAGACGATCTATTACTTTTACTTATGCCGCCTTAAAAAAATTTTAATTATTCAATTGGAGCATCAAATTTGTCCACCATGTTGTGTCCGACATTTTGAATTATTTTTAAATTGTACCATCATATTTTAATTCAGCGACCTCGAAAACATTATAGTACCAAGTATTAATGAAATCGAAGCATTTTTAAACATTTTTGTCCGCCATATAAGGTCCGCCATTTTGAATTTTTAAATTTTATCATCATATTTGAATTCAGCGACCTTGAAAACATTACAATACCACACTTTGAACAAATTAAAAGTTTTTTTTTAATTTGGAAATTTAGTCCGACATTTTGAATTCGCCATTTTGAATTTGGAAACACCAACTTTATTTTTGTATTCAGTGATCCCAAATGCTTACATAAAAGTTGTTTTATTAAGTTTTGCCATGATTTACAGGTTTTTTTTACTCCAATTTGTCATTTTTTCATAAAAAATGCTAACGTCACTCAACTCCCAGGAGCTCAAAAAATTAGAAAAAGGGATCTCTATAATTTTCCTCTATTCTATATTTATTTAGCTTTATTTTGGTCCAAGGTTCATTCATTTTAGTCAATTCCTTCAAGAGAAATTACGTTTTGAAAATGAAAATGCAAAAATAACACACTGTGCAGCGAACATATATTGACAATAGTTATAAATAAACAATAGAATATGTAAAAAAAAATTTTTTTATTCTTTATTGATTTATTACCGTATCCAGGGCAGCTATTGAAAATTACAGTTAAATTCAGCATTACAAATTCTAATTATCGAGAAATTAATATTACACAGGGTAAATTTTACCCTATATATACCTTTCACTCACCGGGTTACATTAATTTAGTTTTAACAATTATTTGGCTTAATAACTTTTTTATTTTTAATTAAATTATAATAATAGTTTAGATAATAATAATTAGTTAAGATTTAAAAAAAAATTTTTTTATAAATAATAATTATTGACCTAAACATTGTCTGTGCAGTATTTTAATTGATAAAATAATTACCTATAATAATCTTGATCTTCATTCAATTTCTAGTTTTCAGAAATTTTTTTATATTTCATTTTTATCATATTATTAAAAAAAAAGTCAGAAAAAACTTAAAAAACACAATTATGTTTCAAAAAAACATTGAATTTTATCTTCATATAAAACCATGAAATGTACTTTAAATAATTACTTATTTATCATTATATACTGTAATTGAGAGTAATTATGCTATTTTACCATGTGTATAATAGGTATTTTTGTCATCGACCGTAAAAAAATTCACCTACGGAAACATATAAAACGAGTAGATTATCGCAAGTGTCATTTCAATAATAGATTCGCTTAAATTCAATGGTCATAACAATTTAAATAGTATTAACTTGAAGCATAATTTTGAAAAGTTTCTCATATTATTAAAAATAATATTGAAATAATATGTTTTTTATAAAGAAATTTTCGACTGTTGCAATAATATTTTTATTTTCGATTTTTTTAAAAGTAAATTGCAATGATAATCAACCATGTGTAATTATTGTTGGTTCTGGAGTATCTGGAATTGCTGCAGCATCCAAGCTTATGGAAAATGGCTTTAATGATGTCAAAATTCTAGAGGCAGAAAATAGAATTGGAGGCCGAATATTTACCACAAATTTCGGTAAGAAAATAAAAATAATATGTTCTAGTTCCTAAACATAAATAGTATTAATAATGATTAATCAAATTTTATTCCATTAGCTGGTAAAAAAGTTGAATTGGGTGCCCAATGGGTCTACGGGGCAGAAGGAAATGTTGTTTACAAGTTGGCATCGCCATATGGAGTGATAGACAAAGGAGACGATAGAGTAATAAATATTTTTGATAATGTAATTGATTCTGATGGCAATGTAATAAAACAAGATACCGTCTCAGCTTTTAATAAATTTTTTGCCAAAGTGGAAGAGGATTTGGTAGCATATGCTGAAAAAAATAAAAATTCTCCTTTAGGCGATTACTTTAAGAATGAGTATTTAGATTTATTTTTCTTCAATACTTAATTAAGAAACAATACCAAATAGTCAAATTCATATATTTCCAGATAATAAATTTCTCTACTACTCCTTTCAGAATTCATAAGTATGTGGAATCACATCAAGAATGTAAGGAGAATAAAGACGGATTGACACGTCTCACTGATATGACAATGATGTCGATATATTCTGCAAATTCATGGGATAATGTTTCAACAGTATCTATTAGAGATTTTCACAGTAGTCCTGGTGAATTTTTCATTAGCTGGAAAACAAATGGATATAAAACTCTTCTTGACATATTAATGGTAATATTCTTGTGAAAATTAGTCGAACTTTTAAAAATTTCCTAAGGATTTGATTAATTATTAGAAACAGTAAATTAAGAAGTTAGATTTTATCAAAAAAATACATTTAGCATTTTCTTGTAGAAACGTTTTCCGAAACCAGAAGAAGAATTACCAGTTATGAAGAATACAAAATTAAACGCTGAAGTAGAATCAATTGATTACTCAGATCCAAATGGAAAAGTTAAAGTAAAAACTACAAATGGAGATGAATATACTGCAGACTATGTAATCGTCACATCCTCCGTTGGTGTGTTAAAAATCAAACACAAGTCAATGTTCAAACCCATTTTACCAGATGATAAACAAAAAGCAATCGAGGTTTGTTAATAGTAAATACTATTTCCAAGTTTGACAACATAAAAGATTAAGAAGAGAAACAAGTCTAATATTATTACAAATAATTTAAGGGAACCGGTTTCGGAAATGTAGGAAAAGTTTATCTTTCCTTTGATGCACCATGGTGGAAGGAAGATATGGATTATGGTATCAATCTTATTTGGAAGAACAAAGATTTAGAAAATCTCGAAAAGGATGTACGTATTATCATTAAAGATTTATAAATGACAGTCAAACTTGTCATCTATTCAACACATAAGTACGTTACCTTAATATTTCTGTACAAGGTTCAAAATATTGAGAAAATATTAATTACACTCTACATTTGGGTAAAAAAAGAAAAACATTTTTACAGAATAAGAAGAACTGGCTTAGGGGATTAGCTGGATTTACTTCAAGTCCCTATATGCCAAATATACTCGAAGCATGGATATCCGGGGTAAAGAACACTGAGGACATGGAAAAACTATCGGATGATGAAGTCAAAAGTCATGTTGTTGAAATTATGAACCGATTTTTCGGAAAGACACACACCGTCACTAATCCCACTGGAATCCTTAGGTGATTTCAAATTTGAAACAGTAATTTTAATTATAGTAACTCAAATTAATTAAATTTTCTGTAAGCTAACATTAGCTTACATTACATTCCATTAGCTAACAGAAGAGAAAATTTAACTGAATGTTAAGCATTTTAGATCTAAATGGCTCACCAATAAGAATTTCATGGGATCCCTCAGCTACAGAAGTGTAGAGAGTGACCCTGATGTTGCTAATCCAACAAAATTATCAGAACCCATTGGAAAAGGAAAACCAGTAAGTTTTAATGAATTTTTTTTCAATTTCTCGAATCTTGAATTTCATGTAATTATATTTTTAAGAATCTACTTAACATGTTTTTAAATTTAATGAAATTTTTAGGTCGTTCTATTTGCCGGCGAGGCAACGAGTCCCCATCACTTTGCCACAGTTCATGGTGCACTTGAAACTGGATGGAGGGAAGCTGAAAGAATAATGAAACAACATCCAAATATTAAAAAATAGATTTTCAACTATCTCGATGCTTCCCTTCTGGAAACATTATTTTCAAATGAGAGAAATTAAAAATTGTAAAATTAGAGTAAACATTTGTTATAATCGTTGTATTCCGGTAATCTGTTTGCAGTTTGAAGTTAGTTGCTGTTTGCTTTTTTGGTTCCTAACTTTTTAAATAATAATTTTTCTTTTTAAATGTTTAAAATTTTAAAATTAATGTACAAATCATTGAATTCTTGTTAAGTATTTATAACAAAATTTGAAAATAATTAAATTCACTACAAGAATTTTATCTAAATTTTTTTCAATAATTAAATTCATTACAAGAATTTTATTGACATTTTTTTCAATAATTAAATTCATTACAAAAATTTTATCGACATTTTTTTCAATAATAGAATTCTTTCGAGAAAATGTAATTAAAATTTTATTGAAAATAATGTAATTCTTGACAAGATTTTTATTAAAATTCTTTAAAATAATTGAATTGTTTTGAAGAATTTATTTCAATTTTCTTGAAAATAATGCAGTTTTTTAAAATAATTTTTACTGAAAATTTTGAAAGTAATTGAATTTTAACAAGAATTCAATTACTTTTAATAATAGTAATAAAATTCTTTGCAAAAAGTAAATCTATAAATAATAAAAATCTTCGTACAAAAATTCAATTATTTTTATATATATAAATAGAAAATTTTTATCAGGCTTTCAATTATTTTCAATACAATTTTAATTGATTTCTTCGAAATTTTCAATAATTTTAAAATTTTTTGGAAAAATTCTCGGAGAAAATTCAATTAATTTAAAAAAATAATTGAATTTTTCACATGAGTTCAATTATTTAAAAAACTTTTAATAAAATTCAATTCAAGAATTCAATTATTTTCATAAATAATAAAATTTTCCCTGGAATTTAATTATTTTAAATACAATTTTAATTGAATTCTAGGGAAAATTAAATTATTTTTAAACGTTATTTTAAAATTTTTAGAAAGAATTCAATAACATCACTAAATAATAAATTTTTCACAGGAATTCAATTATTTTAAATACAATTTTCTTAAAATTCTTCTCAAAAATTCACTTATTTTTAAAAATAATTGAACCCGTTATTTTATTAAAATTGTATTGAAAATAATTGAAATCCTATGATGAGTTTTACAATTTATAAAAATAATTGAAATGTTTTGAAGAATTTTTTTTCATACTTGTTCAAAATAATTGCATTTTTATCAAAAATCTTGAAAATAATTTAATTTAATTAATATTTTTAAAAATAATTGTATTCTTTCGAGAAATTTTATTAAAATTGTATTGAAAATAATTGAATTCCTCCGAAACATTTTATTATTTATGAAAATAATTGAATTCCTTTGAAGAATTTTATTATTTATGAAAATAATTGAATTCCTTTGAAGAATTTTATTATTTATGAAAATAATTGAATTCTTGTTAAGGATTTTACAATTCATAAAAATAATTTAATTGTTTCGAAGAATTTTATCTGAATTTTAAAAAATAATTTAATTTTTTAAAGGAATTTTATTAAAAATTTTGAAAATAATGATTTTTTTAAAACAATTTTATCACAATTGTTGAAAATAATTGAATTTATATTAAAATTCTTGAAAATAATAGAATTTAATTAATATTTTAAAAAATAATTGTATTCATTCGATAAATTTTCTTAAAATTGTATTGGAAATAAATGAATTGCTCTAAAGAATTTTATTATTTATGAGAATAATTACTTTTAAAAATTGTTTTGAAATATAATCGTACTTTTTAAGAATTCTGATTGAAAATTTGGAAAATATTTAAATTTAAAAAAAAAATTAGAATTAAACTTATTACCACGATTGTTCCATTGGTACTCGAAAATTCAATTATATTAAAAAATATCTTACATTCAAGTTGTTGTTAGAAATATCTTGATAATTTCTCCTCGAGTTGTTCAAATAATTAAATTTAAAGAAAAACTGTTAGAAAAATTATATTTTTTAGAAAATGAAGAATTTTCATTAAATTTCAAAAAAGAAATTTTTTAAAATAATAATGACAGCGAAAGTTTCACAAGCGCTTGCACGCGTGTAGTTTTGCTAGTTGACTTATAATAAGATTTATTGTTCCATTCATATTAAAATATCCTTTTTAATTAACAATATAAAAATTAAAAGATTTTAATAATAAAAATAATGAAAATTCTTTCCTATGAATAAGTATGAACGACAAAAATACTTTCAATTTTAAATATAAAAGAAAATCAAGAATTCAGAAATAAAGAAAAAATATCGGTCAATTGATTGATTTTATTATAATGAAAAATGGTGTGTACATACTGTCAGTAAATTAGTGTAATACAATGATCGATGATTGTAAGTACAAAATTGCCTAAAACTATTTTCTTTTTAAATCTGAATCCAGACTTTTTCGAGTTGAATATAAATCGAAATAGTTTTTTTTTCATTTTCAAACAAAGACAAGAAAAAAATTTACTTCTTAGATCCTAATAATTTCATAGTCTGGTTGTATAATACACTTTGGATAATAATCAGAGTCCAAGAAAAATTAATTGGTCTCGATTAAAAATGATATATGTATATAGGTATATAAATTGACTTTCGTTATCTTTAAAATCGCTAAACGATGCCCGGAGGCAGATATATAATATATATAATTTTTATTTTTTTAAATTTCTACGCAAAGCCAATCAGGTATTTGAGTATTCTTTCCTGTATGAGATTCTATCACGCGGCCAAAAACAGCGATTCCAGTATCACAGAATTTTTTTCGCCGGATAAATGGAGCTTTATATTACATGGAGAGAGAACTTATTAACAAAAGTTGGTGTGACTCTCGAGAAAACTGATCAGAACAGATGGTTGAAACAAAAATTATAACAAAATTCAAATCGAAAAAATTTTGCATTTAAACAATATGAATTGTAAAAATAAAGAAAAAATAAGATCAAATAAAAATAAATGAATGCAATAAAAAAAATAAATAACGTAAAAAATTAAAAAATAATAAATATAGAATATAATAAATACTTATACAAAAACAAATAAAAATAAAATGATTTAATTAACATGATTAAAATTTAACAAAAATAGGAATTTTTTTAAAAATAAATATATGAGAAAACTTTTATATATTCGATTTGATGAAACATTAGATCCACAGTTTTGACGAGATACAAACAATAAATTATCTTTTCGTTCAGTTTTCTCCATCAACACACATGCACACCTGTGGATCACTAATATTTACAAAATTTTCGATACTGCACGCAAAAACTTTTTTCCATTCTTCACATTTTACAGAAAGATCAGCTGTAGATAAATTTATTTAAGTTTTTTGATAAATTGATTTTGTACTAGGATTTTTTTCAAAGAAAAAATTTTTTTACTTAATTTCACTAAACTTCTGTAACAAAAACAACTGAATTTCACTTTTATCAAATCATTGAACTTGGGGTAATTTTTTTTTTTTAAAGAAAAGTTACTTTAATTTTTAATACTTAATATTATTTTTTAATAATTAATTTTAGTTTTTGAATTTTATCAGCTTTTTTCATATCTAGGGACTTTACGGACTTTACGGATCAAAAATAAAAAATTACGGACCAATTACTGACAAAAATATAACCAGTCCGAGTCAAATAAGAGAACATTTTACTTAAAACTAATTCAATTATTATTTTCAAGAATTTTTAACTAAAATTCTTCTTTAAATCGATTATTTTCAATAATTGTCGAAAAAGTTCTTTGACAATTTTCAAATCCATTTGTTTACAATATTCAATTTTACGAAATTTCAATTATTCGTAAATTCTTCAATTAAATATATATTAGAAAATGAAAACTTCAAATAATTTTTTAAAAAAATCCGCAATTAAACTTTCTTAAAAAAATGAATTCCACAGAATTTTTAGTTTAAAATATCAAAAATTCAAATTTTCAAAGATTTTAATTTAATTATTTCTAAAAATTCACGCTCTAATGCATTTAATATTCAATTATAATTTAAAATTTTTATTGAAATCTATTTTTAAATCAATTTTTATTATAAAATTTTACTAAAATTCAATTATTTAAATACAAAAATAAATAATTTATCGAATGTTTCTTAAAATTCAATTCCCATAAAGAATTTTATTAACAAATTTATAAATAATTGAATTCTTTTGACGAATTTTAATAAAATTTTCAAGAATAATTACATTTTTCAAAAAATTCGATTAAAATTGTATTAGTAATACCATGTAATTGAAATTTTGCAATGAGTTTTATTATTTGTGAAAATAATTGAATTTCTGCAATAATTTGTAAATTTTCCAAAATAAAATTTTTTTTTCGAGTTTTTAACTACAATTTTTCTATAAATGCATAACTTTTAATATTTTTTGAAAAAGTTCTTTAAAAATTTCCAAATTAATTTGTTTACAATTCAATTTTACAAAATTTAAATTATTCGTGAATTCTTCAATTAAATATACATCAGAAAAGAAAAACTTCAAATAATGTAAAAAAAAATCTGCAATTACACTTACTCAAAATAATGAATTCCACCGAATTGTTAGTTAAATTTATGAAAAAATTGAGATTTTCAAAAATTTTAATTTGAAATCTTTTTAAAATTCAATTATTTCTCAAAATTCACGCTCTAATCGTTTTAATATTCAATTATAATCTTAAATTTTAATTAAAATCCATTTTTAAAGAATGTTATCAATAAATTTTTAAATAATTTAATTCTTTTGACGAATTTTAATATAAATTTTTAAGAATAATTACATTTTTTGAGGAATTCGATTAATATTGTATTAAAAATAATTGAAATTCAGCATTGAGTTTTATTATTTACGAAAATAATTGATTTCTTAAAAAGAATTTTATTTTTTACGAAAATAATTGAATCCCTGTAAAAATATTATTATTTATGAAAATAATTGAATTATTGCGAAGTTTATAAAAAATTTGTAAATAATTGAATTCCTGTGAAATTTTTATTCTTTTATGAAAATAATTAAAGGTTTGCGTAGAATTTGATTAAATTGTTTTTTAAATAATTGAATTCTTTTGGAAACTTTTATTAAAATAGTAAATATTAAAAATCATTGAATTGAGGAAAATTTTCCAAAATAATTGAATTTTGGACAAGAATTTTATTATTTCTAAAGATAATTGAAATTTTGACGAGAATTTTATTTACTTTTGAAAATAATGGAATTTCTGCAATCACTTGTAATTTCTCTAAAATTCTCTAAATTATATCATTCAATTTATGAACTTTTCGTCTTTTCTCAATCAAATTACGGACTTTGCGGACCTTTTTTTTTACAAAAACTGACTTTTACGGACTTGAAGCTTTACGGACCTTTACGGACCCAGTTCGAGCCCTCCTTATTTCATAAATTAAATAATTGTCAATTATTAAACAACATTGGAACAATTTATGATTTTGGGAGGCAAAGTTTTTGAAATACCTGCCTTATCAACACAAGTGATCTCAGGTTTATATTTTTTCTTTTGTTTTTAAAATTATTGAGTGATATGTGGATGTAATCACGGTGTGATTATTGTTTATACGAAATTATTTTATGAATTATAATTGTATAAAAGTATCCTTGATATTTTTATATATTTTTTTTTTTGCACGTGGTTTATCGTGATAATGTTGTTTGCGAATATACCATCATTTTAATTGTTGATTTTGTGAAAATAACAATGAGTGATTGAGTGCATAGTCGACTCGTTTATAGTGTTATGTAAATTTACAAAAAATAAAAATTAAATTTAACCACAAAAATTAATTTTCAAAACAAACAAAGAATGCAGAGATAAATCTGTCCATGGGAAATTTTTTTATTCCGCCTTTCATTCTTTGTTTTTTACGGTGATTTATAATTATCCCCCAGGCACATACATGGCTCATTTAGATTAAAAAATAATTACCTCAAGTTCAAAATGATTTTTAGTCATTTTTCGAAAATTTATATAATACAAAATCATAAAAGAGAAAAAATCGGCTGACAATCAAAAAGCAAAAAATATACTCAATAAAGTTCCATTGTGGAAACACCGGGAAATATCAATTATAAAAAAATAGAAAAATTTCAAGTTTGAAAACTTGAAAAAATTATAATCTATTAATTAAAAATTAATTTGTGAAGTTTGAATCTAAATTCTTAAAAAAAAATTAAATTAGTCGACCTCTAATAAAAAAAGGAGAAATAATAAATATACAAGGAGATTCGATTTCTCTAAATCACTATATCGTGAAACGCGTTTCGATTTACAATTATACAACTACATCGTCAGTACTAATATCGATATGTCATGATATGGAAAATAGTCGACGAATCATTATCTTTAAATCCATATATTCAATGATTCGATTCGTAAAAGGCATCTCAAAAAACTTGTTTGGCAAAAATGTGCGTTTTTCTCTTCTTAATTAATAACTGAGAAAATCAGTAGAAAAAGAAAAGAGGGATAAATTTTCGCAACATCGGTACAGTCTCGATGAGCAATCGCTCGAATGGAATATTAAATAAATGCAATAATACTCAAACTCATTTATCGTTTATGAGAATTCGTTTTAGATTTCGGACTATCCGTGGTCCCGTCATTAACATCGCGTCTCAATCTTAGAATGAAATTTAAATTATGAGCCGTATTAACTGCATAATAAACATTCGCCGATGTTGGCAGTACCATATCGCGATCCGGTAGCACTTGTGCCAATGTATACTGATCGGGATTGCCCTCAATACCCAATTTAAGCATTGCATTACGAATAACTTGCGGTGTCCTCTCATTATTCGAGAGCATTATTGATTTATAGAGAATAACACCGTCTGTCTCGACATTATCACTTTCCATTGTTACCTTAATAATATAAAAATCGGGCGAACTTTTGTGCGAGTGACTTGGACTCGGTAGGCCAGGATGACACGGACTACCGCCTCCGTTTGTTGTGACTCCAATTTGAGGCGCTAGGCGTGAATTTTGACCCGACGACGCACCACCGCCCGAACTCAATGAGACGTCCAATGATGGAAGTGAAGAACTGGAAGACGAGCTGGACATTTGTGACGGCGATGTTCTTCGATCTAGGGAATTGTGTGGCGAACTTGGCAATGAATCTAGATCGCAATAGAATTGAGAACTGCTCGAACTCGACGTTGACGCTATCGAGTCATTTTTTCGATGACCTTGATGATTCTAAAAAAAAATAAAATCCATTTAATACGTGGACATTTTTTGATAATTCATTCTTAATATAAATAATGGGCAGCCATAAAAATTTGAGTTTCTTTTTCCCTGATTTCCAAACTTTTTGTCTTATTCCCTGATACTGGCAGGCTTCACAGTGTCCCTAAAAAGTATTTTAGGGCAAATAGGGGACTGAAAATTAAAAAAGAGAACTTTTAAGGAACCATAAAAATTAGTTAAATAAAGATAAAAAATATAATTTATTTATACAGGGTTGCCACAAAAATTTAACTTTATTTTCCCCTGATTTTCAAACACAACTTTGACTTATATTTTTTCCTGACCCTAAAGAATATTCTGATTCACTCTCAAAATTATTAGATACTCAAAAAAATGTTCTATTAAATTTATTTACAAATTTTCTTCAAAAGTAAAGTTATTCGAAAACATCCAATAGTTTTATTTAAAATAAATATTTAATCATTTTTTTTTCATTGGAATTAAGATGTTCAAAAATTTCAAATTCAAACCTTTTCAAATTGAACAACTCATAAAGAATATCATTATGAAACATAAAGATGACCGACTGACAAAATCATTATTTTATTATTATATAAGAATATTGTTACTGTAATTTCTTCAAAATTATTTGTATCATTTCAATTCAATTAACATTTTCTAGAATTTTTAACTAAAATTCTACTTTAAATCAATAACATCAATTATTATTCAATTAAACTTTTTCAAAAAAATTAATTCTACAGAATTGTTAGTTAAAAGTACGAAAAACAATAATTTAATACTACGAGATATCAATTATTTAAATACAAAAATAAATAATATTGAATGTTTCTTAAAATTTAATTTTTACGAAGAATTGTATTAACAACATTTGAAAATATTTAATTTCTTTTAAGGAATTAAATTACAATTTTAATGAAATTTATTATATTAAAGAATTTTATAACAATTTTTGAAAATAATTGAAAACTTTTTGAAGAATTTTATTAAATTTTTTTTAAATAATTGAATTCTTGAGAAGAATTTAAATAATAATTTTTGAAAACAATTGAATTCATTAAAAGAATTTTATAAAAATTTTTGGAAATAATTGACTTTTTGAGAAGAATTTTAAAAAAAGTTTTGACAATAATTTAATTCTTGAGAAGATTTTTCCCTATCTATTTATAATTATATAATTTAATTCTTGACGAGAATTTTTAAAAAATTTTGAAAATAATTTAATTTCTGCAAAGTATTTTATTACTTTTCAAAAGAATTGAATTCTTGCGATGAATTTTGATATTTATCAAAATAATTGAATTTTGGAAAAGAATTTTATTAAAATTCCTTAGAATAATTGATTTTATGGGAAGAATTTATGCGATTTTGTTGTTTATCAAGATAATTGAATTCTTTTGCAAAATTACTTAAAGATTTTTGAAAATAATTGATTTTCTGCTACGAATTAAATGCTATTTATGAAAATATTTTGAATTATTGCAACGAATTTTATTCTTTTATTGAATAATTTAATGTTTCTTAAAATTGAATTCTTTCCTCAATTTTTAATAAAATTTTTAATAATAATTGCATTTTTCAAGGAATTTATTTAAAATTGTATTGAAAATATTTGAAATTCTGCGATGAAAATAATTTAATTCGTAAATGAAATTTTATTATTTATGAAAATAATTGAATCTTTTCGCAGAATTGTATCAAAAAGTTTTTTCTATAATTAAATCTGTTGACAAATTTTATGAAAATAGTAAATATTGAAAATTATTGAATTGCAAAAAACTTTTGGAAATAATTGAACTTTTGCAAAGATTTTTATAAATTTTTGAAAATAATTGAATTTTTGGCGAAAAACTTTGCAATTTGTAAAGATAATTAAATTCTTGACGAGATATTCGTGAAAACTTTTTTAAATAATTGAATTTCTTCGAAGAAGGAAAACTTATTAAGAAGGAAATTTATTAAAATATAGAAAATAATTAAATTCTTTTCAAGAATTTCTTTAAGTTTCTTTGAGAAATAATGTACTTTTTTTAATAATTTAAATTGAAAATTTTCAAAATAATTGATTTAAATTTTAAACAAAGAATTTTTTTCAACTTTTTAAAATAATCTCGTCTGTTAAGAATTATAATTTAAATATTTGATTATTGAAGTTTATTAAATTTGCATTAAAAGTAATTGAATTCCTGAGAAGAATTTAATTATTTATAAAAAATAATTAAATTTTTGCGATGAATTTTACTGCTTATAAAAATAATTGAATTGTTTCGAAGAATTTATTAAAATTTTAGAAAATAATTGAATTCTTCTGAAAAATTTTAAAGCTACATATTTAAGAAAAAAAATCGAATTCTTCCGTGAAATTTTATAGAAAATAATTGAATTCTTGCAAAGATTTTACTATTTAAGGAAATAATTGAATTCTTTCGTGAAATTTTGTTGAAGATAATTGATCTTTTGCTAAAAATTTTACTGTTTATAAAAATAATTAAATTCTTTCGAAGATTGTTATTATTTATAAAAATAATAGAATTCTTGGGAAGAATTAAAATTTTTAAAGATATTTGTACTTAATAAGTGAACTTTTTAAATAATGATTATAAAAATTATTCAAAAATTTGTATTTGATAGAAAAAAATTTATAATTTGCATAATGATAATATCTTAGAAAAATAAAAATAAAATATTTAAAAAATCTCATTTTCCAGAATTTTTTGAAAATTGAATGAAAACAAAATAAAATTTTAATCTTTTTAAAATTAACTAATTAATGAAAATTTTAAATAAAATTTTTTCGAAATTAAATTATTTGCAATGCAATTTGGAGCATTTAATACTGCTTTTTACACAAAGAAATACTTTTTATAATATTCAATTATTATTTTCCAATTATAAAATTAAAATTCTTTAAAAATCCAATTTTTTAAAAATCTCTATGTGAAATTATTCATATTTAATTATTTTTAAATTATTTTTGAAACATATTTAATTATTTTCAATTTAATTTCATAAAATTTCAATTAAATTAATAATTTTTCAACAAAATTTTTATAAAAATTCTAATATTTAGGGAAAAAATGGAATTAAAATATCTTAGAAAACTTAATTTTTAAAAAAATTTCCATCTAAAATCTTAACTAAAACAATTCTTAATCACTCTTCAATAAATTCAAGATAATGTTATCTCAAAATCCAATGCAATAAAATGACAACTGTAGCTAACGTTGAATATAATTCTCTCTTGAAATATTTGTTAATGCAATCACAATTTTTAATTAATATTAATATTTCAGTTTTTTTTTAAAAAACTTTTTAAAACGAAAAGAAATTGAACATGAATTCAATATTTATAAGTGTTTCAAAAATATTTCTGAACATCAAAAACAAGAAGCTTTTTTGTAATTCTGGATTAATATTTTTTCAGTATACTTTTTGACAAAATTCATTAACATTTTTCTGATTTCCTTCATCTGTGTCAACTTTCTTGATTCTTATATTTTTGTTTTAACAATTTTTTGAATTTACTTCAATTTTTTAATTATTGTTTTGGATTCATTTATGTCTGCAAAGACAATACAGAATTTTTTGAAAAAGCAGTTTTCCAAAATGAAAAAATTGTACTTTATACAAGAATTTATTAGTAACTTATTTTTATGGAATCACTTCGATAAATTAATTTTATAGAATTTATTTTGAAATTATTTTTGTAAAATTTTATTTCTAATTTATTAATTACAGAAATCACAGTAACTTCTTTTTCAAAATAGATTTAAAATTTAAATAAATTGTAATTTGGTAGGATTAAAATTATGATAGAATTAAAATTTTGAAATAGTATTTAAATTTGGATAACTTGTGGTAAAAAAACAAACAGAATTACAATGTATTTAAATTTCGTTCAATAAATATTTCAATCAAGAAATACTTTAAGTAAAATCTAAAATTCATTGAAATTTGAACCAGGTGTATTTTAAATCTGTTTAAAATTTTGATAAATTTAAGCTTATTGTTAGATAAATTGAAACAATTTGAAAACAATTGCAGACAATAATAATAAAGAAGTGTAAATCTAGAATTCTGCAATTTTGCAATTAATATAATCTCAGGAAGGTTAAAAATAAGCTTCTAAAGATAATAAATTTTTTCCAACACTTCTCAGCATAATTTATGATTTTACATTGGCAATTCAATCAGGTTTAAAATATATTACATCCAAAACTTAATTGAATCCTAAAAGAAAGTGAAAAAGGTAATAAATTAACAAAATAGGTGAAATAGGTGAAACTGTTAACAAAATTTTTAAATAGGTGTAAAAAATGTGAATAGGTGACAACCTGTGATCCCTATAATTCATTTATTTGAAATAACTCTAATTAAAATTTTCAAAAAATGTTTGCTTTTGTAAAAATTTACTTTATTTTATTAATTTTAATTAACTTTTATAAAAAAAAATGTATAAAGGTTAAATCAACACACCTGTTTCTTTTTTACCCGATTATTGAGAGTTGTTCCAGGAGGTGGAACTTCAATTTGACAACTGAGTTTGTACGCCTCTCGATCGTCGAACACAATGATTGAATGAAACCATTTCTCGAATATTGGATCAGTATTAAAATTATATGCATTCGCTGCGCCTTGAAGAAGTCGAATCCTTGCGAGCACTTCAAATTCCTTTCGTCGCTTATCAAAATTTATAAGTCCCCCCGCTATCGAGTCAGGAATTGCTGTGTCTATCATTGTTAAATCAGTCAAAAATGTTCCTAAATAAGGTATCGTGCCATAGCTAATATTCTGAAAAAAGAAATACATCATGAAAAATTAAAATCTTATACTTTTAATTATTAAACTTATATTTTAAACTGACTATCGAATGTATTTCAGTTTTAGTTTATTTGGAAATAAATTGAAAATTTCATCTTCACATTGCTTAAAATTTCTTACAAATTTTAGGAAATTAATTTATCACTTTTTGTTTATTAGGAAGCGAAATTAAAAATAGTGTTTTTTTTAAACGAACGTTAATTAACACTTCCTTGTTTTAAGATTCTAAAAACTGCTAAAATTGTAGAAAATATTATTTTTGAACAAAAGAATTGTGTTAATTTTTTAAATCAGATTTTACAAAACAATAAATTTATTGTCTCAAAATTAACATTATTGCTAAAATAATTAACATATTTTCATGTTTTTGTACTTTTATTTTAAAGATAAAATGGTTTATTATCAATAAGGTGATATTTTTTTCAAGAAGGTGGTAATTATTGAAAATGGTTTAAAAAATGTTATAAAAAATTATATATTTTTTATTAAACTCGGAAAAACTCGGTTTATTTGAAATCTTACTCAGAGGCTCTAAATTATTCTTGCAAAAATTTTAAGTCCGATTGATTACAATTATTATCTAGGTACTAATTTTCTTAACTAAATTTTAAAACCTATTGTTAGTTGAAAAAACTTTCTTTTTGAAATTTAAAAAATTAAATTTTATTTTCGTGTTTTTAACACTAAAATTCTTCTAATCCATTATTTTTAATAATTTTTGAAATAGTTCTATGAGAATTTTCAAATTCATTAGTTAACAATTCAATTTTATAGAATTTCAATTATTTGTAAATTCTTCAATAAAATATATATTTGAAAATAAAAACTTGAAATAATTTTTAAAAAAATACAATTGAACTTTTTCAAAAAAAAATTAATTCCACAGAATTGTTAGTAAAACATATGAAAAATTCAGATTTTCAAAAATTTTAATTTGAAACCTTTGCAAAATTCAATTATTTCAAAAATTCAGACTATAATGTTTTTAATATTCAATTATAATTTAAAATTTTAACTGAAATACATTTTTAAATCAATTTTTTTTAGAAAATTTTACTAGAATTCAATTATTTGTATATGAAAAAACAATTTAATGAATAATTGCATGCTTCTTAAAATTGAATTCTCATAAAGAATTTTATCAATATATTTTTAAATAATTGGATTCTTTTGGCAAATTTTATTAAAATAGTATATATTAAAAATCATTGAATTGAGGAAAATTTTTGAAAATAATTGAATTTTGGAGAAGAATTTTATTACTTTTAAAGATAATTGAAATTTTGAAAAGAATTTTTAAAAATTTTTGAACATAATTGAATTTTTGCGAAGAATTTTATTACTTTTAAAAATAATTGGATTTCTGCAATCATTTGTAATTTCTCTAAAATTCTCCAAATTATATCGTACAATTTACAAACTTTTCGTCTTTTCTCAATCAAAGTACGAACTTTTTTTTAAAAAAAACTGACTTTTACGGACTTCTAGCAAATTTAAAGATCTTTACGGAATTTACGGACCTAGTTCGAGACATGTAAATACAAAAATCTTCGTAAAATTTAATTATTTTACAAATTTTAAGTTACAATCCTTCAAAAAATACAACAATATTTATAAATAATTTTTTAAAGTGAGAAAATAAAATTCTGTGAAATAAAAAATTTAATTTAATGAAATTTTAATTACGATTTTTTAAAAACCTCATTTTTCAAAACTACAAAATTGAATTTTACAAATTTGATTAATTTTTCTTTAATAGATATTTTAATACTTATTGTCATTTATTTATCCACCAGGAATTAAAATTTCAAAATACTTTCAATACTAAACCTTTTGAAATTTAATTATTTCTAAAAATTAGAACTACAATTCTTCCAGTTCTTGAAATATTTTCTAAAATTTTAACTGAAATTCTTTTTTAAATCAATTCTTATAAAAAATATATAACTCAATTATTCAATTATTAAAATACAAAAATAAGTGGTAAAATAATTGATTATTTCTCAAAATTTTGAGCAATGTGCAGAAAAAAGACCGATTTTATTAATATAGAATTAAGAGATAATCTTTTTTCAGTAATAACGAAAAAGTAGCGTTTGCTAAATTAAAATAGTGACAAATTAAAATAGAATAGGTGATAAAATTGAAAACAAAATCGATCAAAATGTAAGTTTTAACGAAACGCAAGCAAATTTTCTACACTTAACTTTAAAGAGTCTGCGGTGTTTAATTCTAAATTAAAAAAATTTTATTTAAGTGATTTTTATAAAGTAATATAAATAATTAACTAAAATGTTGTAACATTTTAGTATTCAATATCTTCGACCACTTCAATTTCGGAAAAAAATAAAAGTTCGGCGTTATAGGAATTCTATCATTTCTAAAACATAATTTCTATTTATGTTTGTAAAAATAAAAATCCAGACAAATAAAAATTCGGTGTAATGGAAATTTTGTAATTTAAAAATTCGACTAGCAAGAAACTTTATTGAATAAACATTCTGCTAAATGGACATTGGTTAAAAAAATAATGATCTCTTTTAAAAATGTAGTTAAATAGAAAAGGGCTAAAATAAATAGAAAATAAATAGAAATAAATAGAACTTTGCTTGAATAACAATTGTAAATTTTCAGTAAATTATTAATTCTTTTTCCTAAAAATCATTTAAATAGAGATTTGATAACTTGAGATTCGAGACTGAAAAAATTGTTCCAAGTTCAGTGTGGAAAAAAATTTTTTTTTTCCATTCAAAAAATACTTACTCCTGCGTGAGTATTTTGTTTCTGAAATATTTTTTGTAAATGCCTATCGCTTCTACCGGCAGTGTCAGCAAATTTTGCCGTTCCCTCCTTAATGAGTAATTCTCGTTGTGTCCATGCGTTATTCTCCTCCGAGAATATTCTCTCGAGTTCTCTGAAGACCTCATGCTTTTCACGTGGCATGCATTGCCAACATTTTTCCAGTCTATAAACAGGATTACTCTGAAGTCCCGAGACAATTGCCTTGAGACTACTGAAATTCTTCACCACCCTCAATTCCTGAGCAATGTCAATCCACGTCTCGAGAATTCTCGCCCTCTCGTGTGCCTTTAATTGCAAGTCTTGAAGAATTGTCGCAATTACACGTAACGAAACGGCGTTAAATTGATTGACAGTTGCCAAAACAGTTGCAGCGTCATGACTGCGTGAACGATCGCGTCTCGACCAAACTGCGCCCAAACATTGATGGGCTATTAATTTTTTGAACACTTCGGCGTCCATTCGCGTCAGTTGCTCGGCGAAATGTCGATGGGGCACCTCGGGAAAAATGTAGGTCGGCCAATGATCGTTTATCACATCTGTCGTTCCATGCTGAGTGAGACGACTGTTGTCGTATGGTTGACACGAGTCTGGGGAAAAAGATAAAATGCGTTAGTAAGCCAATTTTTTTTTTTTTTTTTATTTTTTACTTTCATTTCTATTTTCAATTCATTTCATTTTCCCTAGAGATTTTTATCATCAATCTTTATTTGTACAATTTTGAAAATCGCTAATTACTTTTACCAACAGAGTGAATCATCGAGTCAATAATGATTATTTTCTCATTCCAACTTTAGAGATGTTTACTATAATTAATTAACCGCAAACAGACAAAATTTAATGGAAACTTTGAAAAATTACAAAGAATATTTAAAAATACTTAATGTCTATTTGACTATTTAGTCAGAAAATAAATTGTTTAATTACTTATCGAACTAAATTAATTTAAACCCTCAGTTTAATTACAAAAAATTATGAAAATCTATATCTATATTTAATAATCGTTGTATTCTGGTAATCTGTTCGAAGTTTGAGGTTAGTTGTTGTTTGATTTTTTGTTTCCAAACTTTTTAAATATTTTCAATTTTAAAATTAATGTCATGAAAATCATTGAATTCTTGCGAAGAATTTTACAAATTTATAAAAATAATTGAAATGTTTTGAAGAATTTTATCATAATTTTTCAAAGTAATGAAATGTTTTGAAAGAATTTTCTTAAAAATTTTGAAAATAATTGGATTCAATTGCAAACTTTTATTAAAACGTTTAAAATAATTAATTTTTCTTAAAAATGTTTACAAAAATGTTAAAAATAATTGAATTTTATTTAATATCTTTAAAAATAATTGAATTCTTTCGAGAAATTTTATTATTTATGAAAATAATTGAATTATTGCGAAGAATTTTATTAAAATTTTTCAAAATCCTATTTATAAAATAATTTAATTTCTTTAATAATTATAATTGAAAATTTTGAAAGTAATTGAATTTTATGAAGAATTTCTTTGAAGTTCTTATAAAAATCTTGTTTCTTAATAATTGAAATTAAACACTTACTTAGTGAATTTTCTTAAAATTTTTGGAAATAATTGAACTATTATACAATTTTAATACAATTTTCTAAAATAATTTAATTCATTCAGCGAATTTTATTAAAATATAAAAAATAATTTAATTCTTTCGAAGAATAGATACTATTAAAGGTTTTGACAATAATTCAATTCTTTCAAAAAATTTCTTTAATTTATTGAATATAATCGATTTTGTTCATAATTTTAATTTACAATTTTACTATTAAAACTTTATTAAAATTATTGATAGAAAATGAAACTCTTTTAAACAATTCTATTAGAGTTTTTGAAATAATTAAATTCTTTTGAAGAATTTCTCTGTGTTTTTTCAAGATAATGTAGTTTTTGAATAATTTTAATTGGAAATTTTGAAAATAATTGAATTAAAAAAAAGGATTTTTTTCAAATTTAAAAAATAATCGTGTCTGTTAAAAATTATAATTAAATATACTTCATATTAAAGTTTATTAAAATTGTAAATTGGAAATAATTGAATTCCTGTGAATAATTTTATTATTTAATAGAAATAATTTAATTCTTGCGAAGAATTGTTATATTTTTAAAAATAATTGAATTGTTTCTAAGAATTTATTAGAAGTTTAGAAAATAATTGAATTCTTTGGAGAAATTTTATTAAATAAATTGAATCCTTTCGTGAAATTTTATCAAAATTATATTGAAATTTGAAAATAATTGAAATTTTGCGAAGAATTTAATCAAAATTTTTTAATATAGTTGAATTCTTTAAAGAAATTGTATTTAAAATTCTGAAAAATTAGTTTTTAAAGTCTAGAAAAAAAATTTACTTTATAAAGAATTTTATTAAAAAATTGACATAATTAAATTTTTAGAAACAAATTGTATCATTTTCTAATCTTTCTAGAATAATATTATTTAATAATTTACAAGAAATTTCTTAAAAGTTTTGTGAATAATTGAATTTTTGAGATTAACTCAATTTTAGAATTGCTTTAATTATTTTTAAAATAATTGAATTTTGGAATTATAATTGAAATTTCTTAAGTTTTAAAGAAGATATTTGAATATTTTTCAGGAAATTTATTAAACGTTTTAAAAATAAAGGCATTTTTAAGGAATTTTTCAGAAAAAAAATTTTTGAATAACCTGAAGGAAACGAGGAGGAAAAAATTAAAATAATTGAAAATAATTGAATTGTTTCAATGGATTTATTCAAATTTTAGAAAAGAATTGAATTCTTTCGTGAAATTTTATTAAAATTGTATTGAAAATAATTCAATTCCTGCGAAGAATTTTACTATTTATAAAAATAATAATTGAATTCTTCCGAAGAATGTTAGTATTTATTTATGAAAATAATTGAATAATTGCAAAGAATTATATTAAAATTTTTGAAAATATAAACAATAATAATTAATTATGTACTTAATAAGTGAATTTTTTAAATTTTGATTATGAAATTATTCAAAAATTAAAATTTGAAAATAAAAAATTTTGTAATTTGCATAATAATAATAAATTGAATTTCGAAAATTGTAATATAAAAAATAAATTTTTATCCCAATATAGAAGTCTCGTTACTTTTTTTTTCAAAAGTTTCAAGTTGATTAAAGTTTTCTTGAAACTGCAAATACCTCAGACAACTATTACTGTCAAGAGCAAATTCTTGATCTTTGCTGACACAATTCTTCCTGAAACTAAGTCTAGAGTCAGACGAGTGTGTCATAGATGTTGACTTAAATGGAGGACAAACACAGTGAAACGAAATTGCCCTCATTTATTAATTGTTGTTAACGTTCATTATATCGGAAACCCTTATAAACAATTTTTTTTCTGCAGTCAACAACAATCAAACGTCCACATAATAATTTTAATTTTAACAAAAAATTATTTTACTTTTTTATTCTTTCCAATCTATTCTTATATTTACTTTTCCATAAATAAAAAATATTTCTCATTGTTAATAAAAAAAAAATCGAAAATATTCAATTTCCTTTTCCATAGATAAAAAATATTTTTCACTGTTAACAAAAACAAATCGAAACTATTATTCAATTTTTATTTTACTCAATTTCCTTTTCCAAAGATAAAAAATATTTTATAATAAAAAAAATCGAAAATATTCTCCATCTATAATTTAGATTATTTTTATAGTTTACAATTTTCAACTGCTAAGTTTTCCTATCGGGATAAAAATAATTGCAAATAATTTTAAAAAATAAAGTAAATAAAATAAATAATTAACAGATAAAATAAATGAAAATAAAATAAATACAAAAAATAAAATTCTAAAGAAAAGATAGTCGATAAATAAAATATGTTTTCATAAAATGTATATAGGAATAGTTTAGTCATTATAGATTTACAGAATCATGATTAAAAATTAAACACGTTTAAAATATAACAAATAAGAAGTATAATGGAAAGTTTATAACAGACGCAATTTATATTTATTACTCGTATAATAAACTCTCCATACGTTCAATTAGAAAATTATAAAGAAAACAACAACAATCGATTGCTATTAAAATAATTACAAATTATCTAGTACATCCTAGAAAGTTTTTTGTACTATCTGACAAAATAATAAACTTTCTCGTTGTACTACAAAAAAAGATTATTCCAATACACAGATGCCACAAATTTGGATTTTGTTTCTCCCTGATATCCGAACAGATTTTTGAATCTTTCCTCTATAATCCCGATGAAAAACTACAAAGACAGCAACTTTATACATTTACAAAAAAAAAAAATTTTTTTAGTCATAAAATTCCATTAATTTCAAAATTTTCAATTAAAATTCTTGGAAAACAAAATTATTTTCTAAAAAATTTGAATAAAATTCTTTAAAAAAAAACTTAATTATTTTTAACACAATATCAGAAAACTTCAAATATTTCAAAATTTGTCAATTATTTTTAAAAGTTTAAATATCTTTAAAATATAGCATTAAAAGTTTTAAGGAATCGAATTTTATCAGAATTTGAAATAAAATTCTTAAAAATTTCAATTATTTAAAAAATTTTTCATATTTTTTAAAATTGAAATATATAAAAATATAATAAAAATTTTTATGAAACCTACTCTTTTCAAAATTTTAAATAACATATTCATCAAAATTTCAATTATTTACAGGAAGAGTTCACCGACTTTTTTAACTGTATCAAGAAAATAATAATTTAATTGTTCCATAAAAACTGTTTTATAGTCACGTTTTGAGAGGAATTCAATAGTCATAAAAGAAAATATAAATGGGACAAGTCCGTAAATTTGTAGAAAATATGTTTTTGGATCAAAAAAAAATTGCTGAATAAAAAAAAATGATTTTGGCTATTTTAAAAGAGAATTAATTGAAAATTCATTTAATTATTTTTCTAATTTCAAATAATAATTTTTTAAACCTATAATTTATACAATTATAAAAATAAGATATTTGACTTAAGTGCCAAATTAAATTGGTAATAAATTAGAAACAAAATTAAATAATCTGAATTTGATTTATGCAAGGGATAAAACTTTTTGATAAGTTTACAATAAAATAAATAAAACTATTTTTTAGATAAATCTGCTCTTTTCCACAATGTTGTCACTTATACAATTAAAATTTATAATTACATAATTTCTAATTAAAAAAATTAATTAAAAATTTTCTAAATGTAGAATTCAAATTTTTTATTTTTACTGCAATAAGTAATTTATGTCGACGAAATTAAATAAAAAGGCTTAAAATTTCCACTAACTATTATCTTACTCGTCTCGATTGGATTGAAAATCAGTTTAAGATTTAGTGGGAATAATAATTAAGTAATAATTAAGTTAAGAATAATAATTAATTCTTTTTATCAAAAATTATTTGCTTTTGACTGGGTTGCCCGCAAATATTTAATTTATTTCTTCTTCAAATTAAATTTTTATTACTACCTATAATTTTGCGTCACTATCAAATAAATTAATTATAAAATTTCTAAAAGTAAAATTTGAGATTTTAGTTTTTATTGTAATCAGTAATCTATAAAAATATTTTACAAAATATTTTGTTCATTTGAACGTTCAAAACTTTTTGTTAATGAATTTTTAACTAAAATTCTTCTTTAAATAAATTATTTTTAATAATTTTTGACAAAATTCTTTGAGAATTTTGAAATTTATTTGTTTAGATTCAATTTTACGAAATTTAGATGATTCGAAAATTCTTCTATTAAATATATATATATTAGAAAATAAAAACTTGAAATAATTTTTAAAAAAATTAATTCCACAGAGATGTTAGTTAGAAGAATTAAAAATTCAGATTTTTAAAGATTTTAATTTGAAACCTTTTTAAAATTCAATTATTTCTCCAAAATTCTATTTTTTAAAAGTTTTTAACGAAAATTCTTTTCTAAATCAATTATTTTTAATAATTAAATATTTATATTAAAAAGTTCAACCAATTTCAAAAAATTTTGAATTGAGATTTTAAAAAAAACTAATTACTATAAAATCTCGATAATTAAGGGCATTTGAAATATTATGACTTCACAGTAATAATTTTTTGAAAGTTCTTTAAGAATTAAATTAGTTAAAATAAATTATTGTCAAAAATAGAAAAAAATTAAGGTTTTATATTAAAATTCTTGGTAATTTCAAACTTTTAAGGCAAACAAAAACGTCGCAAAAATTCCGAGTTTTGTTATGACTTCTATAAATAATTAAATTTTTTTCCAACCTTATCTTATTCTTAAAAAACCAAATTCTTCTCTTCTTGCTCCAATAAAAATGTTATAGTACGCGGAAAAATTTTTTTTTCAAAAAATTTAACAAACGGATTATTAAACTCAATCCATTCGATGTTTGCTACAAAATATTATTTTAGAGTCACTAGTAAATTGTCACAACGAAAAATATTTAATGTAATAGTAAACTATCATGTTCTCTTATTTTCGCTGTGACAATTTGCTATTCATATTTTGTAGCAGATATCAAAAAGTTGATATCAAAAGTTTAATAATCTGTTTATTAAATTTTCAAATAAAAAAAAAATAAAATAAAACGTACAATTATATTACAAAAAGCAAAAAAATTTAAAAAATTACCAATTTGGCCATTAGGCTGTGAGAATCGATGAAGCCGATGCCTGGCCTTAAGTTCAAGTTCAGAGCCAGGCAGTCGTCGATGTGTAAAATCTAAAAGTCTCATGAGAAGTGGATGTGTCGGTGGTGTACACCAATCGCCAGGATACGCGTCCAGCCAGACATGAAGTGCTTGAACCAATGTTTTTCGATGTTGCTCGCCAGTGAGTGCTCCAGTATTCTCGTCCAGGGAATCGTATCTGACGAGTAGAAGCTCCAAAACTTCTTGCGGTGTTGTGAACGCGCGATATGTCGCAAGAAAAACATTGATGTACGTCGATTCAAGTTCACCATCGTCGTTAGCTAAACTCTCGACTAATCTCTGAACTGTGCCGGCCTTTAGGAATCTCACCCTCACCGTCTCCCACTCCAAATGTGAAATTTCATCATCTGAATCCTGCGAATAAAATTACCAATAAACAAACTTTTACAAATTCTCTAATTAAAAAACTACAACTCAAACATTAAAGGAAAATTAATAAACTAAAATTAAAAACAGGAACAAAATAAATTAAAATCTATACCTAATTAGAAAAATAGTAAATAAAAATTAAAAGCTAAAAGAAAATTTCAAATTAAAGAAAAAATTGATAGAAAAGTAGTAAATTAAAATTAAATTAAAATTGCAAAATAAATTAAAATCATAATTAATAAATTAAAATTAAGAACGAAGAGACAAATTTTAATTAAATCAAAAACTATAAGAACAAATTTGTAATTAAATTAAAGACTAAGAGGCAAATTTTAATTAAGTTGGAAATTAAATTAAAATTCAGTTTCTCCTCCAACTTTAAGGGGATGCGGATGTCAAAGTAGATGCGATTTTTTCATTGAAGCTCTATGTAATAGACAAAATCGCAACGACTTTGACATCCCCTTAAATAGTGTTAGAAAGAAAAAAATTATAAATTAAAAACAAAGAGAAAATTAAAAATTAAATTAGAATTAAAAGCTGTAGATTAAAGTTGAAAACTAAAAGAAAACTAAAAGAAAACTAATAAATAAAAATCTAAGAAAAATTGTAAATCAAATTAAATTACAAAAACTGAAGAAAATTTAATATAAAATTAAACAATAAAAGAAAATTAAAATTAATAGTCCATGAAAACTATATAAAATTATAAATTAAAGAAAGTTGATAAAAAAGGATTATTAAATAAATTATAAATATTTTAACATACTTAAAATTTCAAATTAAAAGAATATTAATAAATTTAAATTAAAGACGAGAAGAAAAATATCAAAAAAATCACAACGACTTTTGCATTTCCTTAAGCAGTGTTAAAGAAAAAATTGAATTAATAACAGTTACAAAAAGATAAAACTTTAAATTTTATTAAAAATTAAATTAAAATTAAAAACTGGAGATTAAAATTGAGGCCTTGGATCCAATAACTCGCCCGACGCTCGAAGGCACGCGCTAATACCAGTCGGGTAGCAGTGAGTGGCCCAGAGGCGCTCACTGCTCACTGACTGGCAGTTGCGCGTTCCTCCAAGCGTCGGGTGAGTTATTGGATCCAAGGCCTCAATTGCAAACTAAAAAGAAAATTTAAAATTAACTCAAAAGTAAATAAATGAAAGTACAAAAACTATAAACTGAAATTAAAAATTAAAAGAAAATTTAATTAAAAAATAACTATTTTATAAACGTTGGACGAATAAAAATGTTAATTAAAAAAAGATAGACAATTGTTATTGAGACGTAGAGAATTTAATGATTGAATTAAAGTCAAAATGAATGCTTTTAGGAGCATTGTTCCAAGTAGCAATGATAAAGCTCAGAGCGATGAAAGTCAATAGGACAACTTTTATATAACTCAGTGACAAAGTTTTCTATGAAAAACTATATAATCAAACGAGGAAATAGAATTTTCATTAAACTTTTATTAAAGAAAGTCCCATTTAATAAAACTCTTCTCCCAGCAATGTGGATGAAAATTACAATTTTTTTTATTTCTTTTTTTTGCTTCACTCTACGTACTATAAAACTTTTATTATTCCTTGATTATTCTTCCTATTTTTGCACAGCAATTTTTATTTTATAAAATATATATATATATATAGCTTTAATTTTGTACACAGATCGAAATTTTATTCATTCCTAATTTTCATTGATAAAAAATTGTCAGTTTTATTAATAAATTTTCAACTTGTTTCGTTTATATATACTAAATAAAATAAAATAAAAAAAACTCAATTTTCAATTGTGAAGAAAAAAATAAAATTAGGGGAGACCGGGGCGTAATGGCTAACTTTTCACTCTTTGTTGTTTTACTCGGACATTTTTGTTCTAATTTAATGTTTATCATCCAGAAAAGTTACTTTGGTATCTCAGCTTTCTTTTAAGACTACAAACGTCCCGATATGACTCTTACTTTTCATTCTACAACAGTTTTTCTGGAGCAATGCAGAGCTCCAAAATACGGCCCGAGCCGGGGCGTAATGGATAACTCCCGGGGCGTAATGAATAATGATTGCTAATTATTATCTACAGTTTCTAATCTTATTGTATATTGTAAATTAAGGTTCCTGGGTGAATACCCAGGAACCTTAATTGGAATGCTATTTTTATTCAGTAATACTTCAACTATCGCTTTTTCAATACTCTCTAAATCTGAATATGTGAAATTTCACTTATTGTACGTTATAAGTCGTCCTCTCGATCAATAAGTGCATATACACTTATAAATAAGTGAATTTTTCACTTATTCTGAGTGAAATTTCACTTATTATAAGTGTATATGCACTTATTGATCGAGAAGACGACTTATAACGTACAAATATGTGAATTTTCACATATTCAGATTTAGAGAGTAATATTCTGTGATATTGACACTCTCTCAATTTTTTTTGTAATTGAAGGGCTACATAAAATAAGGGGACGAACGAGTGTTTGAAAGGGATAATATCAGTCAGGTAGCAGTGAGCGGCTCAAGGCTTGTCACTGCTACCCGACTGGTAATATCCTTTCCAAGCCTCGCGTTCGTCCCCTTATTTTATGTAGCCCTTCAATTTCTCATTAAAATCGTAGCTTGAAATCTACTATTTGTAAATTTTAGACCAAAACTTTAAAATTTTGTTAAAAACACCTAAACATACTTAAACTAAGTGACAAGTAACCGCGAAAACAAACCTACACTTCGCCGATATGGTAGGTTGCTCTTTATACATAGCGTATTGCATTAGCCAACACGCCCCGGGAAAAACTAGCCATTACGCCCCGGGGGTACTCGGCAAATATTTGGCTTATTTTTAACAATACCGGAAGTGTGAATCAAAAATCTCGAATTGTCCCTTAAAAACAAACGTGTCAAGATCGAAACCTCATTTCAGTTTTTTTTTAAAGGTATTTTTGAAAAAAATAGAACGAAAAAACGAAAATTTTGAAAAGTTACTTTCGTATGTCAAAAATAGTTTTTCTACTATATTTCTTACAATAATGAATAAATATTAATGAAACTTCCGACAAACTTGCAGTATACCAAGTACAATAACTTGTCTATTGTGCGAAATTATTACAATTTACGGTTTTTAAACAAATTACAATTATTCATTACGCCCCTTAGCCATTACGCCCCGGTCTCCCCTAATCAAAATCTCGATAAATTCAAAGTATTTTGCATTTAACTTTATTTTATGTAATATTTTTTTGTCACTTTCTTGTCATTTACTTTTAAAAAATAAGTTACTTTTTCACATATTTCAAAAAAGAAAGGTTCTGTGAAACCTAATTCAAAAAATTTTTTTTGAGTGCCTATGAAATGAGATTTAAATCTTTTTCAATTCTTTAAGACAGATAAGAGAACATTTTACATAAAACTATAAATTAAATTTTTCATAACTAAAACATGAAGATATCGATAACTCCGAGTCTTCGATTCGGAGTGATCGATTTCTTCATGTCTTATAATAATTAAAGATGAAAGAATGTTAAAATCATTATCAATTCAATTATTTTTTTCAAGAATTTTTAACTAAAATTCTTCTTTAAATCGATTATCTATATTAATTTTTAATAAATTTCGAAAAAGTTCTTTGGCAATTTTCAAATCCATTTGTTTAGGTACAATATTCAATTTTAAGAAATTTCAATTATTCGTAAATTCTTCAATTAAATTTATAATAGAAAATATAAACTTCAAATAATATAAAAAAACTTAATTAAACTTTTTCAAAAAAATTAATTTCAAAATTCAATTATTTCTAAAAATTCACGCTCTAATCGTTTTAATTAAAATTAAAATTAAATTAAAATTCAATTCAATTTTATTAGAAAATTCTACGAGAATTCAATTATTTAAATACAAAAATAAATAATTCATTGAATAATTGAATGTTTCTTAAAATTCAATCCACATAAAGAATCTTAGCAACAAATTTTGAAAGAATTGAATTCTTTTGACGAATTCTAATAAAATTTAAAGAATAATTACATTTTTCGAGAAATTCGATTAAAATTGTATTAAAAATAATTGAAATTCTGCGATGAGTTTTACTATTGAAAATAATTGAATCCCTAAGAAGAATTTAATTATTTTGACCAATATTTAATTTTTGCGAAGAATATTATTATACTCTTGAAAATAATTGAATTTCTGCAATAATTTGTAACTTTTCTAAAATTGAATTTTTTTTTCGTGTTTTTAACTAAAATTTTTCTATAAATGCATTATTTTTAATAATTTTTGAAAAAGTTCTTTAAGAATATCCAAATTTATTCGTTTACAATTCAATTTTACAAAATTTCAATTATTCGTAAATTAAAGTTTCTCAAAAAAATGAATTCCACATAATTGTTAGTTTAAAATATGAAAAATTCAGATTTTGAAAGATTTTAATTTGAATCCTTTTCAAATTCAATTATTTCTAAAAATTCACGCTGTTATGTTATGTTTTATATTATTATGTGTTTAATTCAATTTTTAACTTTTCAACTATCATTCATTCTGAAGGTAAATACTTTTTTATAATTTAATTAAATGTATATAATTTAATGTTAACATTATTTCAATATTTTTTTAAAAAGTTATTTGATATAACATTCAATTGAATTTTATTTTCATAAATTGCTTAATTACAGAATATTTAGTTTTTTAACTTTTTAATAATTTTTAAACTTGCAGAACTCTAAATACTGTTTTTATGAAAAATATAATATTTATTTTTCATAATTTTTATTTCTTATAATTTTTATTACATTTATATTACATCAAATATCTTTTCTCTATATTTAAATAATGTTAACATTAAATTATGGACACATACCTGCCGAGTAAATGATAATTATAAAGTTAAAAATTCAATTAAACAACCAATGTATAGAATTAAAATTTTGGGGCTATGGTACGCCTAAAATTTACCTGGCATTTTTTTCGTTGTTTCTAAAAACGAATTTAGAATTTTTTTTAATTTGATGCTTCATTATATTATATTACATCTTGTAATTAAATAATTAATGCAAGTTATAATTAGTATTTTTACTACAGATTTTTTGTTTTCCAAAGAAATTAGAATTAAAAGCTGTTTAACTTTATCATTTTCAATTAATTAATTTAATATTTTGCAGTTATGTTAGATTCGAAAGATACGGAATTCTTTGTTTGAAAAGCTAAATGAATAATTATTTTTTTAATTAGTTAGTTAGTTTTTCTTCTCTTTGATAGTATTTAGCTTTATTATTTTTGTGCTCTTGGAAAATACTTTACTTATTTAATAGTCTCGACTCTTTGGTAAAAAATCTAAAATTATCGAAAATTATCAAAAATTCAAAAATCCGAATTTCTTAAAATTCAACATTTTTTCTTCTCTTTTATGGCATTTAGCTTCAATATTTTTGGGCTCTTCAAAAACACTTAACTTATTTAATAGTCTCCACCCTTTGGTAAAAAATCTAAAATTATCGAAAATTATCAAAAATTCAAAAATCCGAATTTCTTAAAATTCAACATTTTTCCTCTCTTTTATGGGATTTATCTTCATTATTTTTGTGCTCTTGAGAAATACTTTACTTATTTAATAGTCTCGACTCTTTGGTAAAAAATCTAAAATTATCAAAAATTAAAAAAACCGAATTTCTTAAAATTCAACATTTTTTCCTCTCTTTTATGGGATTCAGCTTCATTATTTTTGTGCTCTTGGAAAATACTTTACTTATTTAATAGCCTCGACTCTTTGGTAAAAAATCTAAAATTATCAAAAATTATCAAAAATTCAAAAAACTGAATTTCTTAAAATTCAACATTTTTTCCTCTCTTTTATGGGATTTAGCTTTATTATTATTTGAATTTCTATTCAAGAGGAAAAATGGAAAACTGAAAAATTTAGAAACTTTTAACAATTTCAGGCCTTTTCCATGATTTCCCTGATTTCCAGAATTAGCCTTTTAGAAATTCCATACCATTTCCATGATTTCTATGATTTCCAGATTCTGTAGGAACCCTGCTTTTGTCTGACTTTCTTCTAAATTATCGAATTCAGTGATTTCTGGGGTGAATTTGGTTAAGTTTTAAAATGATTAATTTCTATTTGAATTCGTTTTTTTTTAATTTAGAAAATCTGTTGTTAATTTAATTCCTTTCCCGTTATGCACGGCAAAAAATATTTAGCTGGATAAACTACAGATTTCACTTTAGTAGCGAAATTTTTCAGTGCTTCATTTAATACTTTCGTTATTCTAGAGAAACTTATCGCTATTTCAAGTAAAACTTTTTTCAGTGTGTAATAATTATTATTTCTTAAAAAAGTATTTAAATTAAAATGGCTTTATGAAATAAGCAATGCAAAAGATGACCCAGATACTAATTGGAATTGTTCTATCCATAGTTTAAGTCTAGTAATGTAAATTCTATTTAAATTAAGACCATTGAGTGAAATTATTTGAATTTTAGTTAGTTAAATCTCTTTGTTAGGTAATAATAATTATTTCTTTAAAATTTTTCAAATTGTTTAAAATAAGCAGTTCCATACAACATTCCCGCGCGCTTGCGCGCGGATAGTGTGGCCAGTTTTTAAATAATTGCATTCTTTTGACGAATTTTATTATAATTTTCAAGAATAATTACATTTTTCGAGGAATTTGATTAATACTGTATTAAAAATAATTGAAATTCTGCAATGAGTTTTATTTTTTTTTATGAAAGTAATTGAATTCCTAAAAAGAATTTTATTTTTTACGAAAATAATTGAATCCCTGTAAAAATATAATTATTTATGAAAATAATTAAAGGTTTGCTTAGAATGTTATTAATTTTTTTTTTAATTAATTGAATTCTTTTGGAAAATTTTATTAAAATAGTGGATATTAAAAGTCATTGAATTGAGGAAAATTTTCGAAAATAATTGAAATTTTGCCAAGAATTTTATTAAAATTTTTGAAAATAATTGAATTTCGGAGAAGAATTTAATTAATTTCAAAAAATAATTGAAATTTTGACGAGAATTTAAAAAATTTTTTGAACATAATTGAATTTCTTCGAAGAATTTTATTACTTTTGAAAATAATTGAATTTTTGCAATCATTTGTAATTTCTCTAAAATTCTCCAAATTATATCATACAATATTTTGGAACTTTTCGTCTTTTCTCAATCACATTACAGACTTTACGGACCTTTTTTTAAAAAAAAAATTAGTTTTACGAACTTGAAGCAAATTTACGGACGTTTGCGGGATTTACGGACTTATATCGAACCCTATAAAATGAGATAAACTATATATTTTATTTAGATATAATATAAAATGAATATAATTCTTACCGAAGCTGAAAGACTTCTAGTTGGTCTGTGATATCGGACTTTTTTCAGGTACACTGTGTATATAACATCATCTCCTTTTTCCTCGCCCCAGAGTCGCCACGTGGGCTGAAAAATAAAAATGAAGAAGAAACTTGACTAATTTGAAAAAATATGCAATAAGACAGGTAGTACTATATTATAGTGTGCAGTATTTGCTATAGTAGATAAATAGATATACAAAGAGTGCGTATACATATAGGGGATGTGAATTATAGTCCTAATTTCATTGAAGGTCTATGGCAATCCCTTTTATCATTTGGAGCATACTCTACAATCTACTCAACGCACACTCTAATGAAATTTAATCGATAGAGCAGGAATGGCCCTCGTCTATATTTTATTTAGTCTTCACAAAGAAATAATTCAACATTCCACGTCCTCCAATTATATAGCAAAGACTACAAAGTTGATTCACACGTCTGAACATTTTTCTACCACTTGACATGTTATAAATATTTTTTTTTTCAAGGCACTTAATTATTTTTATATCACTCAGCACATTAATCACAATATTCACGATGCCTTTTTCATTCAGTTTGTAAATAATTACACTATAGTCAACTACCACTATGTTTTAGTTTAACAAACATATTTAACTTCATTTTCATTCTATACATAATTTTTGGGGTTTTAAGAAAATAATAATAATTCAGTTAATTTCTATTTCAACAAATTTCTATATTTAGTAGAGAATTTTATTTAAGAGAAATTCTCCTAAAGGAGATTTTTATTAAATAGAAATTCTTCTAAAAGAAATTTTTATTGATTAGATTTTTGAATTACTAGAATTTTTATTTTAATAAATTTTTAAAAATAATATTTTTATTATACTAAATAATGAATCTAATTAGTTGGATTTCTAATTTTCTATTTAACAAAATTTACACTTAGTCGATTTTCATTTAACAGACTTAACACTCAAGTAAACATTCAGTCAAAGAAAATTAAAATTTTGTTTGACAGAGTTTTTCTTCATTTTCTTGCAATTTTCTTCATCCAAATTTTTATTCAATGAAAATTCGGATGAAGAAAATTTCCGCTAAATAAAAATTTAATTTTTCTGAGAACTAGTTCAACTGAAAATCCCAGTGAATATAAATTCTGAAAAACAAAAATATGAAAAAATCATATTTTGATTAATTGGAAAATAAATAAAGGAAAAATTATAAAATGAAAATTCTGCTTAATCAAAGTTTAGTAGAAAAAAATGTTATTATAATTGAGAATTTTATTCAGTGGGAATTCCGTCAAAGAATAATTTTGCCTATAATAAAAATTATTTTTAACAAAAAAATTGAAAAAATAAGAATTTTATAAAAGTAAAAATTCAGTTTAATAATATTTTTTCTAAATAAAAGTTCTATTAAATGCACATATTAGACAATAATGTATATTCAATGTCAAAATTCTCTTATACAAATTTATAGTAAAACAAAAATTCTATTAATGAAAATTTTGTTAAAGAAAAATTCTTCTGAATGAAAATTTTTCCTTTTTATTTAGCAGAATTATATTTCATTGAAATTTCATTTAGCAGAAAATGTGAATTCGATGCATTTTCAGTTAGAATATTCAGTTTATTAAACATTTCATTAAGCCAAATATTTCCACTTAATAGAATTTTTATTAATCAAAATTTTCATTGGATAGAATTTTCATAGAACTGATTTTCTTATTTAACCAGAATCACATTTAGCAAAATTTTCCATTAGCTTCACTGTTATTAAACCAAAATCGCATTTAGCCAAACTTTCCATTAGCTTCACTGATATTTCCCAAATTTTTTACTTGTTCAAACTTTCTGTTTAGTAGAATTTATGTTTACGAGAATTATTTTCAAGAATTTGTTACGAATAATTTCTATTTTACATAATATTTACTTAATAAATTATAAATTTAATGAAAATTTTCATTTATCAGAATCATTTCATAAAAATTGATCTTGAATAAAGCTTGTATGAAATGGTAATTTTTTTTTAATTTTAATTAAAATTTCATTTAATTCAAAATCTACAGTTCGATAAAATAAAAAGTTAAATAAATAAATTCAATTCATTTACAATATTATTATTTAGGTATTTGATTGTTATTTATTTTTACTTTTTTTCATATTTATATATTACTTTAATTTTTATTCTTTGTTTACTATTTTTTGTTAAAATTAAATTTATATTTAAATAAATAAAATGCAAAATAAAATTAAAAAACTTGAAAGTCGATCACGTGTAAAGATTACAGAAAAATGAAAATTCAATTAAGTAGAAATTCTGCTTAATTTTTGTTTAATATCATGGCAACATTGCATAATAAGTAAATTATAAAAGTAAATATTTTCTTCTATTTTGAATAAACAAAAACTGGTTTTCTCGTCTTAAATTTTCGTACTCATTTCCGTAATAAATATAGCCACTTATAAATATGAATGTAAAAATTAAAATTCAATAATTGTGACCTTGACTTATTACAAAAAAAGAAAGAAAAATGTCTAAAAATACTTTTTAAAATGTATACATTTCTATACGAGTGTAATTAACATACATTTCAATATAAAATAAAGAATTCTACAATATATACATTAATAATTTATTAAGTTTCTAAATGAACGGGAAAAAATTTCAATCCAACCGCCGTTTTTCGATCTAAATTACATAACTTATGTGTGAATCAAATGAGAATAAAAAAACTAATTAACAATTATAGAACGTGTTCAATCTGTTTTTATCTTTTTTTCCATCTTTTCGTCAGAATTACGTCTGGTATTCAAGATAATTTTTTTTTATATTGTTGGTGTAAAAAAGAGTGTCTATATCTCCCTAGGGGTCATATATGTAAAGGTCCAAGTCTATTAATGACAAAAGTCTACGAAGCAAAATAAAACAAAAAAAATAATAATAATGAAAAAGAAGAAAAGGAAAAAAAATGACAAAATTATTAAATACTATACTCGGCAAGAATAGAATGCGTCATTTTGCCGTGACTTACTTTGGTTGTCGTGACAAGTGATAACTTCATGGATTATGCGAGGACTTTTAACTAACTATGGGTGTTAACCATTATCAGAAGCATTGTTTAACTGTCTTCTCGCGATCCCACACAATAAACTCGGGACAAATTTTTATAAACGTCCATTTAAATATTAATAATATGAAAATTAATTATAATGCGCGGAAAAATTAAACACTTATTGAAAATTTGAAATAGTAATAGAAATGGATAATTATTATTATAAATAGCATTTTTTGTATTTTTAAAGAAATTTAAGAATTAAAAATATAAGAACGTTTAATTCCAAAGGTGTCTAAATTTAAAACAAAAAATTAGAAAATAAAAATATAATTTTGAAAATAATTTCTTTTTTAAATAAATATTTAATTATTATTATTTTTCCATATAGGAATTAAGTTTTCCAAAAATTTAAAATTCAAATATTTTTGAAATTCAATAGCTTAAAAGAATATTCAAAGAATTTTGATGTAAAAACATGAAGATATCGATCACTCCGAGTGATTGATTTCTTCATGTTTTATAATAATTAAAGATAACCCAGTGATAAAATTATTATTCTATATTTTTAACTAAAATTCTTCTTTGAATCAATTATTAGTTAAAAGTACGAAAAATTTGGATTTACAAAGATTTGAATTTGAAACCTTTTCAAAATTCAATTAATTCTAAAGATTCATGCTGTAATGCTTTTACTATTACCTAAATTATTATCTAAAATTTTAAACGAAATTCACTTTCAAATCAATTTTCATTAGAGAATTCTCACGAGAATTCAATTATTTAAATACGAAAATAAATAATTTATTCAATAATTGAATGTTTTTTAAAATTTAATTTCTACGAAGAATTTTATTACCAAATTTTGAAAATAATTAATTTCTTTTAAGGGGTTTAATAAAAATTTAACTAAAAGTTATTATATTACAGAATTTTATAAAAATTTTTGAAAATAATATTGAAAACTTTTTGAATAATTTTATTACAATTTTTAAAAATAATTGAATTACTGAGAAGAATTTAAATATAATATTTATGAAAATAATTTTATTTAATTTTGTTTGAATAATTAAAATTTTGCCAAGAATTTTAATAAAATTTTTGACAATAATTTAATTCTTGTCGAGAATTTTTAAAAAAATTTGAAAATTATTTAATTTCTCCAACGTATTTTATTACTTTTTAAGAATTGAATTCTTGTTATGAATTTTGATATTTATCAAAATAATTGAAAATTGGAAAAGAATTTTATTTAAATTTTTGAAAATAATTGAATTTTTGGCGAAAAATTTTGCTATTTATAAAGATAAATTGAATTCTTTACGAGATATTCGTTTAAATTTTTAATAATAATTGAATTTCTTCCAAGAATTTGACTACATTTGAAAATAATTGAATTCTTGTGATGAATATTATTATTTATGAAAATAATTGAATTTTGCAGAGAATTTTTTTTTAAATTCCTAAAAATAATTGAATTTTTGTGAAGAATTTTGTTAAAACTTTTAAAATATTTAAACAATTTTAAAAAATTCATTGTTGTCAAAGATAGAAAAATTTTTTGAAGGTTTTGTATATTAGAATATTTGTGGTAGGTTTATAGTTTATGAGTCAAATAAAAATAACACCAAAAATTTAGAATTTTCTTATCAATAGGTATTCTAAAAATTTAATTTTTTTCAGTACTTTAAATAAAAATCCCTGATACTTTCCCTGACCTGTGGCAGTTCTGATTTTATTAAACATTAAAATTGACAATTTAAAAAATAAAAAATACAGAAATATGTTTCATTGAAAACTTTTAATTTGTTAGTTGAAAAAATTAAAAATAGAAAAAAATGTTTCATTAAAAAATTTAATTTAAATTAATCGAAAATTTTTAATTGAAAATATATTTAATTTAACAGTTGAAAAAATTAAAAGTAAATTGTAATTATAAAAATGAAGAAATTTTAATTCTTCAATTTCTAAAATTAAAAGCATTTTTAATGAAAAATAATTTCAATTTGACAATCTTGAAAATGAAATGCATAACAATTTTTCATAAAAAAACAATTAAGTAC